CTGGCTGCGCCTCGGCGTCCACGGCGGCGAGGACCCCTACGACGTCGTCGTCGACGAGGCGTCGGTCTTCGCGGGCGAGGGGAGGGGGGGCGGCGCCGTCGCCGCGCGGCGCGCCGCGCGCGCGCGGCGGCGCGCGGACGCGCTCGCGGCCGTCGTCGCCGACGGCGGCTACCTGCTGACGCGGACGCCCGGCGCGCCGGCGCTCGCGGGCTGGCGGCCCGTCGCGGCCGCGGCGGGCGCGCGCGAGGGCTGGGCGGCCGTGCGGCCCCCGCGGCTCGCGGGCCGCGACGCGCGCGTGCGCTGCACCTTCGACGTCACGGGCAAGCGCCAGCGTCCTGCTGATATTCCGGCTGAGAAAACGCACGCGCGTGGTGTAGGCAAGCGCGGCGCGCGGCAGCGCCTCTACGAGTGCCTCACGTGCTGCCCGGACGGCATCATCGAGGTCTGCCCCGCGTGCGCGGCGTCGTGCCACCGCGGCCACGACCTCCGCGAGTGCGACGGCGCCTCCGGCGGCGCGCTCCGGGGCGGCGACGACGACCTCGCCTTCTGCTCCTGCGGCTTCGCCTGCGCCTGCCACACGCGCTGTCTCCCGTGACGTTGTGATCCATCGCCCGTAACCTTTATCATCGACGCACGAAGACGAGGACGGCGCCGCGGACGCGGGCGCCCGCGTCCTCGCGGAGGTCGGCGAAGGCGGGCTCGCGCGGCGAAAAGCCCGCGGCCGCGGCCGCGTCGACGACGCCGCGGACGTCGTGGCGGTAGCGGCCGCCGGGCCCGAGCGCGCCGACGGCGCCGGTGGCGCCGTCGTCGTGCGACACTTCGACGGTGAAGGCGAGGATGCCGCCGCGGTCGAGCGCGCGCCGCGCGGCGGCGAGGAGCGGGCCGACGTCGCGGATATAGCCGACGACGTCCGCGGCGAGGACCGCGTCGAGGTCGCCGTCGGGCCAGGCCTCGAGGACGTCGACGGCGTCGCCGACGGCCACGGAGCTGTAGAGGCCCGGCGGCGCCCGGTCGAGCATCTTCCGGGAGACGTCGTTGGCGTGGACGCGGCAGCCCGGCGCGAGCGAGCCCGAGAGCTCCTTCGCGAGGAGGCCCGTGCCCGCGCCGACGTCGAGGACCGACGCCCAGCCCCGCGCGTCGCCGCGGATTTCGTCTACGAGCGCGGCGGGCCCGCGGTAGGCGAGCTTCCCGACGAGGTCCGCGTCGAAGTCGTCGGCGTAGCCTGGGCAGGAAAAGAGTGCGAAATTCCCAACTTCAAAGGCTCCTCTCTCGGCCGTTTTCCACTCGCTTCGGCTGATTTTTGGACGAGCGATCATCTCTCGGAACGGTCTCGAAGCATGGATGCTTTTTATAGAACGCGCGCGCGCGGAACACTCACATGAAGCGACGTTGAATCACCCTTTTCCTGCCC